AAATGCTGTCGTGCTCTACAGCAAAAGCTAACTGATCAGAAAAAGGAGGAGGCTGACGTAGAAGAAAATGATTTATTTAATGAGATAAAAGCCCTAAGATTGTTTTCATTACCTGAAACGTCAAATCCCCTCAACATTTTACAATATATATTTGAAGACAATATATCTTCATGTCTATCAAATATTACCATTTCGTTAAGAATCCTGCTTACTTTACCTGTATCTGTAGCTTCTGGTGAGAGATCCTTCTCAAAATTAAAAATAATTAAAAATTACTTGAGCTCTACCATGTCACAAGAAAGATTATCGGGTTTGGCAATCTTAGCTATAGAGCAAGAGATGATCCTAGATAAAATTGATTTTGACAATATTATAAAAGAATTTGCAGCAGCTAAATCCAGAAAAAAACCTATTTAACTTTTGGATAATTGAATGTTTTATTTGTTTACGGTTTGGTTTTTTTTTCGTTTGTAAGAATAAAATATTGGTTTTTGAAATATCTATTGTTTCATTACAAAATTAAAATAAAATGTGGTTTCGCAATTCGCTCAAATGTTAAACGACTACAATATTACAGCAAACTAGGAAAATTAAAAAAATATGTAACAGCTTAAAGTTGTTATTCTTCAATCCATCTATAAATTGACATATTTTAACAATTTATAGGTAACTCGAGAATTAAAAAAGATATTGAGATGCAGTTTTCACTAGACCTTCTACAAAAAAGCATCAATGACTTTTTTCTCTAAAATCAGCCGATTTTGAGTTAAATGAGATCTCAAATCGGCTGATTTTAGAGAAAAAAGTCATTGATGCTTTTTTGTAGAGCGGACATTTTCCCATTGAAATTTACTTTTGGCAAGCCGAGAAAATGTGAAATGCGCAAGTTACAAGCAAAAAAGTAAAAAAAAGGTCACTTTTTCATTAAAAATCGAGTTTTCTCAAAAACGGCTGCTGGAACCGATTTTAAAAAATATATTGCGCCAATCTATAGACCTTAAGAAATACTTTGACCGAAAAAAAAGTGTAGTAAATAAACTTTTCATTTAAAGTTGGTTCCCAAGCACCGTGCCATACATTTACCTTGGGAGCATCTCTTTCAAACTCGTTGAAAGCTCTAGGATTTTCGTCACCCCAAATCCTACAATTGTGTTTGTTTACGCGTCCACTTAAATGAAACGTTGCTTCATCTGACATTTACATTTGGTTGATGTCTAAATAAATCTAATAACGTCTCACACATAAAAACTCTCTTTTCAAATGCATTATTTTCAATTTTATGACAAGTCTGAACCTTATATGCTTTAAACTTGATTACTTTTAAAATTTTATGCACCTTACTCTTTGACATATGTATGGATTGGGCAATTTTTCTAATAGATATTTTATTATTGTTTCTTGCTAAAATTTCCCTTAGCTGTATAACATCATTTAAAATAATATCTTGAGCGGTTTCAATTTGTCTTTTTTTTCTATCTAATGTTCCCGTTTCTTTAAACTGACTTAGGGGTCTATTCTGTAACAATTCCTTTATATTTAACGGCCTTTAAAAATATTTTCTCCTTTATTTCTGTCATTATTTAACGGATCTTTAAAATACATTAGAGGACTATCTTAAAGAAATCTATTTAAATAATGATAGAAGTAAATTAACGAATACGAAACTATTTTTAAAGGCCGCCAATATTTTTAAAGGCCGTTAAATATAAAGGAATTGTTACAGAATAGACCCCTTACCCAGTTTAAAATAGAATTTTCGTGCAATCGCACGCGAAGTCAGTATTTCGCGTTCTCAGCACAGTCCGCGAAATTTAATTTCGCGGCCATTACCCATAGCAACGGCTGCGAAACCAAACGTCACTTCCAAATTTGAATATCACTTCCAAATTTGACATTTCTAAAATATTACAAAGACAAGGATTATTTTTTATTGAATACCAACAAATACATAAGTACTTATATTATTTAGGATGAATATTAACATTAATTTAGAGTTTGTATTATTACTTATATTTACTCCAGAAGTTGAAGCAACTACATCTAGTGTTTCTGAATAATGCTTATTGCCTACATTCAAACCAGATACTATATCGCCAGAAATTAAGTCGGAAATTTGCTTCTTATTTTCGGGTATTAAAACGGAAATCGCCGAATTTACAACTCTCTTGAGTTTAGGAGGAGTGGAACACAAAGCACGTATCTTCTAGAGACCCCACGCCAATGTTAAACTTTTAAACCAAATTGGCGCCACCTTGTGTTTGGAGCTGGAACTAAAATGACAATTGACAGATGGCGGTAAATTCAAATTGTAATTTTTAGGAGTAGGTAGTAGTTTTAAATTAAATTTTAAATGATTTCCACATAAATTATTTTATAAAATAAAGAATGGAACTAGTAAGTTCGAAACTTTTATTTTACAAAATAATTTAGGTCGATTATACCAAATTTGAGGAATTAATTTGTTATAAGCAGGGGTCTGATGTGAAGAGTTGGTTCTGCATATTATTATTAAATAAATATAAGATATATCAATAAACAATAAAATAGAACATTCTTAAAATATGTTTATTAATAACTTAAATAATATGATTAGATAAAAATAAATACAAATAATAATACATATTTAACGAATACTTACTTGCAGCAAATAGGTATATAATCTCAAATCTTTAAAATACCTATCAATAATTTAAATGTGAAGTAGAGACTAGGATATTACATTTTATTAACACTAAAATAATATATTTTATAAATGTCTTTTAAACCGAGGACAAATGTAATATAGGTATTGTATTAAAAGGTGAATCCTTTTAACTATTCATTCAATGATAAATAGGTATTTTCCTTCCAAATACAGATGGTGGTATTACTCCACTGCTTTGTGTATTACTCTCTTATGTGAAAAATGATTTCGGAATCTAGTCCAGTGATAAATTGATTATCAATTAGTTGTTATACCCGTTTCTTTTTATGATGCAGATGCATGGTGAATCAATGAAGTTTTTCTCGAAGTTTTCAACGTAGCACCCACAGGTAGCACCAAAATTATTGCAAAACACAGTAGGTTATAACTAAGACGAAACTATAAACAGAAACCAAAAGCCAACAAAAAATCACTAAAATCAGACGGAAAAATGAGATTAACCAAAAACATAAATAAATACACGTCACATCTTTGGAGTCTTTGGTTAAGTTTTTCTCCCATTAAGCTTAAAATGGAGTAAGAAATCAGAATTTTACCAGTAGCCCCATCTAGAGTTTGGAGCAAATAGCATAAAAAATGTCAATTGTCGGTTTTGACCTTGGTCATTCACGTGGAACCTCTATGTGCTTTGTGGAGTGGAAGGTACTGAAATATTGCTATCAGTATCAAACATTTTGCGTTTTGTCCAAGAACTGTCAAAATATTTTGTATGTATTGAACATTTCCATAGCACACGGTGACATTGTTAAATAAATTGAACTGCTGTTGATTTTAGAGCAATAATATATTTATTTACAAATATCTAGTTTAATAATTTTAACGATTGCACGAAAAATAGTGTGTATCCCATTGCCGCGAAACTTTTTAACGACCTCAAGATTATCTTGCCTCGGCCGCAAGCGGCCTCGGCGATAACTATTCTTTCGGTACGGTTAAAAAGGTAAAAAAGGTTAAAAAGGTATTTCGCGGCCTAAGCATACAAATAACTATTCTGGTTGGCGAATTTTTTTCAAACATATTTCTAAATCTTCTTTGTGTTTGTGTAATTGATCTACTTTCAATATAAAGTAAAACGCACCGGGCTTTTTCACTTTTGGTAAACATTTTTTAATACCTGCTTTCTCTTGCACTAATTAATACAAATATAGACTTCTGTCAACTCGATTTGTTTTACATAGCACCCTTGATAAATTAGTAGTATCATTTATTGACTCATTTATATTCTATTCAAAGCTGAGTAAGTTAATTTACAAAAAGAGGAATATTAAATAGACACAAAAAAACAGATATAGGTACATATTGAAAACGCTTAAGACATTCTTTTAAATGATGATTTATGGATAAAGGCTTGCAAATAAACGTTACAAATACGAAGAATTTTATTCATCATAAGCCCTTAATCTGAATTGGTAAAAGTAATATTTTACGAAAATTTTAGACATTTGAGACTTTACAACCATTTTATAAAAAAATTAAACATTTCCCAGAATTTAAGTCAAAACCTCTTATCAATAAATTGTCACATTATCGAGTTAAAGGCTTTTAAATTGTGATACTTTACGTTTAGAAGTTATCGACATGGTTTCATAAAAAAGTAAATTTTTCCCAAAAAAATTGAATAAATGCTTACAATGAATACATTTTTGGAAAGGGAAAGAAATGGTCTTTCCGAGGATGTTAAAAATTATAGGGTGTTCTATTTAAAATAAGCTCACAATTTTGATTCAAAAAAGTTCGTTTTTTTTTCGGCACTTTCCAGAAAAAAATTACATGTGACAACAATGTCAATAAAAACTTGAAGTAAATGTAAAAGGTCTAGTAAAAACTGCATATCGATATCTTTTCCGTTTTCGAGTTATAAGTTGTTAAAATGTGTCAATTTATATAAGTACTACATATATTCAAAGGGCGCCAAGATATTTACGGCACGCGGGCGGCGATAACCCTTGACGGGGCCCTGACCAAACCTTTAAACTGTCGGTTATTTAAATTCACAATCTCCTGTCTTGAAGTAAACATTCAGATTATTTTTTTAAATTCAATTCCTACTTTTATGAAATTTGAGTTTTAAACGCATTTGGGTCGTTTTTCGTCGTCTTGTTTATATAATATGGATGAGCAATCTATATAACTATAAATATATCATTGGTATTTTGTTTAGTGGGTTCTTTTTAAGTGTCAGTTTGGATTTAATTAAAAACCAAGGGCATACATCGTATCTATATCTTCAACATACTTTTGAATCATTTTTTGCGAATAATTCTTTATAAAAGATAAAAATAAATTAAACACTCACCTTCCCAATCAGCGTTTCCATAAAATCCACACCCACTCTTGCATTTCAGATCAGCTTGCTTGATCCTCAGAGAAGGCTGCTTGGTAGCGTACATGATGTATTTATATGACCTCTGCAAAGTTAACACAGGCATTGTAGAGAATAATTATTAAAAAACCTTAAAAACCTAACACTTATTTAACTAATAAAATAGTCTTTTTATATAAGCAGGTAGATTAACCCTATTAGGGTATAAACAACTTTATCTTCTTTTCATATTTTCAGATTCCCCACAACTTCCGTGCGAAATCTATTCCTTTCAACTCTTTTAAAAAACACAGTTTCGATTGGCTACCATGGAGGTACGAAACTGTGATCGTGTGCACACAAATTTAGTTCTTTCATCAGCATCTGTACAACAGGAAATTGAGGATATTTCAAAAACGCGAAAGTAGCTTCCTTGGATCCTTGGATTTTCGGGCAAGGCGAGCAGCAATTCAAACTTGCGGAAAACTTTAAAGGTTCAGGATCAGCCATTTGGTTCGGAATTTAATAGTAAATATTTTAGGCGACACGATTGAAATTAGTTTCGAGTACTATGCAAAAAAAATTTAGTAATAAAAGTTTTAAAACACAGAAAAACACTGTAATAACAAAAACGATTATTAACAACTGCTTGTGGTGTTACTTGTATGTAAACTGATTGTGATTTAGGAAGACGATGTTTATATATTTATGTACTGATAGGAATTATCAATTTAATAACAAGTTTGGAATATATCAGCTGATAACCAACATAGGCGTAGATGCAGGAGTTCAGTTGAAATAAATTATACATTTCGCTCCCTTCTTCAGCTAGTTATGTACTATAGTCCGAAGCCAAAACTTATAACCTAACTCTTATTTTATTTAGACACTCCTACACGAAGATTTAACTCAAGTGCAGAAAAATTAGACTTACTACATAAACTTAGTTCCTCAAGTAATGAAAATACTCTTACAAGAGATCTCGTAAATATGCGACAAATTTCAAATGAATCACCAAATCAATTTTACAAGAAAATCATGAGTATATTAAACTGCATATCAAACTTTATCGAAGTACATACACAAACTCCAAAAATAAAAAGAAGCAAACATGAATTCTTTCACCAACAAGTCTTAACTACCTTCTTGGCAGGACTTCGAGAACCTATGAGATCAACTAACCTAACCGCAGCTGAACAATACATTCAGGAAGAAAATAATATTAAGTACACCCAGAAAAGCTACAAACAAAATACAACACTTCTAAATGGAAAACCAACCCACAACATCCAAACTCCTAGGCAACATTTTCACTAACAACAGTAAGCCTATATACAACCACCATAATTCCAACCTGTTCCAGCAGCATCACTATCATGGCAGCAGCAAGTATTCAAACCACCACAACCTATGGAGACACCAATGATGAGATGTACAAACCCTCAACCTACTTTTGGATCATCATTCCAGAATTACCAAAAACCACTATTTAATCAGCCAAGAACATATTTGAGACTTCTAACATCTAGACCAGTGGTCGCCAACCTGTCGATCGCGAGCTACCGGTAGCTCGCGGAGGCAATTCTGGTAGCTCTCACAACGATTTTAATTTAAAAAATACAAACTGCAAAAATCAGAGAAGCTTCCGAAAATTCCACAATTGTCATAAAATTAAACATAAACAGCGGCAACGTTGCGGTGAGCGATCTGCCGGACCAGCGCGTTAGTGTTCGAGAACGATCAGGATTGCTTTGAACGGGATAAATACGCACGGCGCGGCGACATTGCGCTTAGTTTAAAACTGAACGCGTAACCAACGTCCAGCGGTTGGGTTAGTGAAGAACAACAAAAAATAATATGGCAAGCAGTTGTAAGAAGGTAAAGACATACTACTTTCATTCGGAATGGGAAGAACAATACTTTTTTACAGAAGTTAAAGATAAAAATGTGTGTTTGTTATGTAATACTTCGGTCTCCGTTGCTAAAACAGGAAATATTGAGAGACATCATAAAACTGTACATTTTAATTTTGAAAAATCATTCCCACTACATTCTGCCGCCAGAAAGGAGAAACTGAAACAGTTAAAAAAGCAGTTAATTGGACAACAATCAATATTTTTAAGAACAATCGACAAAAATAAGGCTGCAACTGAAGCATCGTACCGTGTGTCCCAGATAATTGCACAAAAAAAGAAACCTTATGAAGACGGGGAAATGATAAAAAAGGCGTTTTTAGAAGCTGCTGATTCGTTATTTGCCAAATTTAGAAATAAAGACGAGATAGTTTCAGCTATAAAATCTATGAAATTTCTGCTAATACAGTGATGAGACGTGTAGAAGTAATGAGCAATGATATTTTTTTACAGTTAAGAACTGACTTAGATAACTGTTTATTTTTCACTTCAACTGGATGAATCAACAGATGTCGTTGACACTGCCCAGATGGCCGTGTTCGTCAGGATGGTTTTCAGTGATTTTACGATTAAAGAAGATTTTTTGAAGTTTATTCTACTGAAAGGACACACTACTGAACAGGAGTTGTTTTCTCATTTAAAAAATATTATTTCTTCCGAGAAAATTCCAATATCGAAAATGGTAGGCTTGACAACCGATGGCGCTCCAGCTATGGTGGGTTGTGATAAGGGTCTGGTGGCGTTATGTCGTAAAGATGAAACTTTTCCGCAATTTCTCTGTTAACACTGCATTATCCATCAGCAAGCATTATGTGGAAATTTCCTGAAACTAAACAACGTTATGAAACTGGTGGTAAAAATTGTGAACAAGATTAGAACTCAAGCGTTACAAAGAAGATTATTCAAAACCTTGGCCGATGAAGTTGACTGTCAATACGGGGACCTACTCCTTCACTCTGAAGTCCGATGGTTAAGTAGAGGACGGGTGCTGAAACGTTTTAATGATGTCCTATCTGGCATAGTTCAATTTTTCAAACAACGCGATGAACCGACTCCGGAACTAGAAAATTCAATCTGGCTTAGAGATTTTGGTTTTCTCGTGGACATTACAGAGAAATTAAACGAATTTAATTTGCAGCTTCAGGGGAGAGACAAAGAACTAGCGGAAATGATTTCTGATATAAAAGCATTTATCAAAAAGCTGGAGTTTTGGGAACAAAACCTAATTAACAGAGATGCCAAGCATTTTCCTATTCTTTCAGAAAAAATATCTCAAAATCCATTAGAACCCTATGACAGCAAATATCATGTAGAAATAGTTTCTACCCTGAAGAATAACTTCAAAAATCGTTTTAAGGATTTCAACGAAATGGCTTTAGTAACGCAGTTTGTTGTTTCACCCTTTATGGAAATTGATATCCAACAGTTTGCAACTTGTGTTATGCAGAACTTTGGCGAAGACATCGCTGCAACAGAAATGGAAGTAATTGAGTTTCAAAATGATTTAGCCTTAAAATCGCTAGTCTCAAGTACCAAATGTATCTGGCCTATTGTAAGTAAAGACAAATATTCAGTTCTATGCCGTGTTGCCTTGAAAGTAAAAGCATTATTTAGTTCAACCTATTTGTGTGAATCTTCTTTTTCCAATATGAAGTTTATTAAGAACAAATATCGCAATCGACTTACAGATGAACATTTGAATAATTGTATTCGAATGGCTGTATCAAATTATACTGCAAACATTAAAAAAATTATCGATGATTGTCAGCCTTCTCATTGAACGTGCTTTTTTATTTTTTAATGTTTATGTTCATGATAGTACGTTACATTTTTGTTGTTATTATTAACTATTTTTAAATCTTACGTAACATGCCGTTATGGCTGGATAAAAGTTTGTGTTTATTTTTCAAACACCTTCGTTTGGTAGGTAAGAATGTAGCTATGAACAAGTAAGTACTAGTAATATTAGTTATTTTGTTATTAGTTTATTATTAGTACCTATGTATTATGTATTACCAGTTTAATAGTAAAATAAATACATGTAATGATAAATTAACTGTGGATTATTTCATTTACGTTGCGTTACGTGGCTTCCGTGTGGGTAGCTCGCTGTTCATTCCAAAATTAACAAAGTAGCTCAACACATTGAGAGACCACCGCAGCAACGAAATGCTTGGTCATCAAGACCTGACCCATCGGAACAACCCAAACCAACACCTATGAGTATATCAACAACAGCAGCCAATAAACCCAAGGCTCCAACAACCTCAATCAAAATTTACGTTTGAAGAACTTTATAACATCCAACAATATGACGAAAATTCTTTAGAAGAAAACACTAGCTACAACACAGAATTTTTCACAGAAGAACAAGGATACCAATATGAAGGAGAGGAAAATTTTTAAGAAGACCCAAGAATAAATAACCCCCTCCTTTAAACTCCTTATAGACATTGGATCGACCAAATCTTTCCTAAATCCCGAAAAAGCCTCTCAATGCTTTCAAAGCTAGATCAAATATGAACCATTTGTCGTCACTCCAATTTTTGAATATAAATTTGACTATTAGGTATACCTACATTATATTGTTTAAATCGTTATTCATCATTGACTTCTTGGAAATTTTTAATCACAAGTGGAGAGAAAGGCTTCAGCTTCAGGGCCTCCGCTATCATATGTGCAAAGTGTGTCAAAAAAAAATTGCGAACAAATTGGCAAAAAAAAACAAAAATTGATTTTTTTTTTTTTTTTTATTTGGTGTCATCGGCGTCGACTACTACGGCCATTAGCCTCGTGTTCTGTGTAGGCTTAGTTACTGTTTCCCAGCGCCACTTTAGGAACAGCACTGTTAATTAGAACCCAACAGTGAATGGTCGAGTGGGGAATCCTACCAAGGCATCAGAATTAATTTTAAATAATTAAATTAAATGAAAAAATCCCGGCCAACGGTGGGATTCGATCCTGAGACCTTCAAAATAAATTTGAGAAATTAAATAGGATTAGGTATAAATACAAACGAAATTTTATTAGTATATCATCCAGTTACTGCCGATTCCTATGTTGCGAGAACATGTCAGGCGGTAGTTTCTTTTTTAGGCGAAAATCCGAAAAATCGGGATTAAAAGCACATGCTTGAACTCCAAAAGCCCAAAAGAAAAAGACAAAAAAAAAGGCAAAAACTTTTAAATAGATAAGAGGCAAATATCAGGTAAGTACCAGGGATTTCTATAAATTCTAAGGTGGATGACCTGATTAATTTTTAGGAAAGAAGAAATTAATAGTTTTATCATAATTAAATGACAACCAAAACTGTTGAAATAAATGATCCAAAAGGTATATTATTAAATTTATATTTCAATTATTATTCTAAAGCTTTATTTATAAAATTAAAAATAAGCGGTATTATTTTTAAAACCGTAACAATTATAATTAATCTTCCTTTAATTTTTTAAATATCTGACCTTAATGAGCTTATTTATACACACAATTTAATGACATACTAATAATCTTATTTAGACTTTAAAATTGACAAAAGTTATAGCAAAGTAAACAACTAATATTTACCAATTTGTAAATATTTAATAAAAGTTAAATATTGCCACTTGTTCAAATCATGTTAGATGCAATTTGTTAGAAAATAAATAAAAATTGTTTAAAAAAAATCTATTCCTTTTAATAATAAAAAATGCGAGTCATGCGATAAATGTCTTTTTGGATCAAGGTTAAATTGCAACACTGCAAACAGTAACTGCTAGTTTTAACCCTTTTTTATCCCCTTGTACTATATAATTTTACGA